GCCACATTGCATTTAATCATTAGTTATTTTTAAACTCTGTCTGCCTCCCCTCAACCCTAGCTGGTTACATCAGATGGCTGCTCCCTACCTGAGTTTACTGCTTTCTGAGGTTTCTTCCTGTTAAAACTTATTTTTCATTCCCGCTGTCACCGAATTCACAGTCAAGGGGGTCATGGGAATATTGGGATTTCTATTATTGTAGGGTCTTGCAATATAATGTGCCTTGAGGTGACTTTTTTGGTGACTTGGTGCTATGTAAATAAAATGGAATTTAATCTTTCTTCTTTTGTTTTAAGTACATACAGTATAATGTAGTAAGAGAATGGATGGATGGAATCAGCTGCATTCTTCCCTTCCCTTGCATCAATAGTATCAAAAATATGAATATGGTCGTGCTGTCCTCCCGTCGAGAGGTAACGTAGCTGGAATATATTTGACACTGACTACATACAACTACTGCTGCTAAGTAGCATAGACTATGGCTAAATAAACCCAAGGTTTCTACACTATATATACACTAGCCAGTGTGCTAACCTTTACACATTTAATAGACTGATTGTGTACATCCATAGCTACAGTACAATGGCTTCTACTATCATGACATGAATGGCCATAGAGGGCTTTAGCTAGAAGGGATGATCATAGGCCCAAGTGTAGGACATAAAGCGATATGAAAATCATTCTGCTTTTGTCTTGTGTAGGATAGTGCATGTGTTTAACCTGAAGCAAGTCCATTTAGACTGTTTTTGTTTTTATCCTTCATGTATGTGATGATGTTTTAAATGTTTTATAACCAGATATATTTCTTAATTCTTGCAATCTCTGTCATGCATTTGTCTGCAGCTCCAAAGTTCATCCATATCTTTTCCTCCGAAAGAGGATTCAAAATGTTTCTGGCAACCATTATTAGTGTCAGTATCTTTATTAATTAAAGCTGCATGTTGATTTCATATTGATTGTTTGATTTGGAATCTACTTTGGTGTTTGTAAAAGGAATGACAGACCCGACCACATATTTCACTGGTTTACGCACTTTTTATTCCTGGTTGCTGCTCTTTGGGCCAATACTCAGCTGCAGCTTTTCAGCTGCCAGCCACACATACACAACAACAACAAGAAAACTCCTCCAGTCCTGACACGTTTAATATGGGAGGCATGATGAGCCGATCGAGGTCAGGTGTGTCCGCCTCCTCTGCAGCCACGCCAGAAACCACGCCATGCCACGGTGGTGTAAAGGGACAAAAAAAAGCCCCCAAACCTATGTATGTTACTTTCCTGCAATTAAACTCATTTCTGGAGAAAATGTTTTGCATTGTCTTCACTGAAAATGTCCATTTTGCTTCCACAAATTACAAACATTAATATTTAAATTTGTTTAAATTTGAGATTCCTTCCTTTTTAATGTCTTGACAATGTTGTTGTTGTTTCTGTTTATATGGCACATGCTATCATCATTACTTAAAGGTCCAGTCTGTAATTTTTCATCATATTATCAAAATCACCTCCTGACTTTTGATTTTTGTATCAATGTGAGCGTCAGTATTATTATTATCACGTTGTTTGTTTGTTGAAGCTAAACTTTTTAGATATAAAATCAACCAAAATATGTTATGTGAACTTTTCAGGCTGGCTGATAAAAACTGTAGTGTATAAAATCTCTGTAAAAGACAGATATCAGGCAGAAACACAAACGCAAAGGGTAAAGTCCAGGGAAAAGCTATCTGGAGAGCTCTCCAAAACCCACGGGAAAGGAAAAAAGGTCGACGCTGGCGCAGCATGAGCCATAGCCTGCAGAATATGAGTTGAGACCAAGTGGAGATGGCACGAAACAACAAAGTGACTGCGGAGAATAGCTACAGGTGAAAAGAGTTAAAGGTCACCTTGAAGAAACCAGAAAGTTGAATCCCGGAGGACGATGCTGCAGAAGCAGGTGGTACATGTTGTTTTTTCAAAATCATCAAGCCAGTCATCTGCTGAAGCAAACTGAAGGCAGCGGGGTGCTACCACTATTCATGGTGTGAGAGCGCTGCATCATGCTAAACATAAGTATGCCCCGATGCAATACTCTGGTTTATACATTATCGTTTTGCCATAACTACTGTCTTTCCTTTTAAGCTTTTTAGTAAAGGATCAACTAAAGACTTTTTAGTAAAACCTTCAGTTGATCCAAAATGCCGCAGTACAAATACTAACGGGGATTAGAAAGAGAGAGCATGTTTCACCCATTTTCGTTTTTCTTGACTGACTTCCAGTTAAATTAAAAATTCAATTTGAAACCCTTCTCCTCTCATGCTAAATCTCAAATAATTAGGGCACACCATATATTAAAGACAGCTTATTATCCCAACACCTCTCTGACTGCAGGTTTGCTTGTGGTTCTTAGAGTTTACAAAAGCAGAATGGGACGTTTCAGGCCCATCTTCCGGTGGAACCAGCTCCCAGTTTGGATTTAGGAGACAGACTCGCTAATTTTAAGATTATACATAAAACTTTCCTTTTTGATAGAACTTATAGTTTGGGCTGGATGAGGGTATAAAAGTGAACCATGAAGTTGTAACCACTTTGCATTTAATCATTAGTTATTATTAAACTCTGTTTATAATACGAGTTAACTGGATAGCTTTTTACAACATTAAGAAGAGAATTCAGGTTTTGGTTTGAGGCACTCAACCTGCTGTGAAAGGGGAAATTGTGAGCTGGTGGTTGCACTTACAGGATCACAAAACTAATTCTGATTCATTCCAAATGAAATGAATTACCCACTTAATCAACCTGCTGAACAATCACAGTTCCCTTTCATGGTGAAAGCAAGTAAATAGACCAGCATATGAGTCCCAGCTTGTGTGACATAATCAATACACATTTGTGTGTTATCAATGGAGATCGTGCACCTGTGATAAAGCACAATGATTACAGTCAACCAAGCCATTTCTACCTACCGATTCGCTTTTGTCCTTTCAAGCAATCTTCTTCTATTATCACAAGCGGCCCATTTCTCTCTCCTGTCATTCTGTTCCCTCTCCTGGAAAAATAAACAAGCTTTTTGTTGATCAGCCCCCTAATTAGCCTCTTTTTCCAGGACAGTTTTCTTACAAAAAACCTGGTGTTATGGTAACTCTCACTTCACTGACTGTGCTACATAGCTCTCCGTATAATAGGTTCAGTGACTGTAGCAAATAATTAAATAATTTACATTAGGGTGATCTCACAAAGAGCTGTCTAATGAAGAGTCTGGAAAAGGGAGAAGAGAAGAGTGTGGCTAAGTTTTAAGTTGATAAACAGGAAGAGATTACTGGGAAGTTTAAAATGGAGAAAAAAATCACCCTTTAAACTCCCGATAATTTGTCATTACAAGACTAAAACTACTCCACTTATTATCTTTCTTTGGGAGGAGAGGACAGATTATGCTTTCTCATGCACATTCATCCACCCAGGCACAAAAAGCAGACCCTTTTTCCCCTTATGTTGTTGCATTGCTGTTGGTGAGACAGGAAATGAAGGGAGCCGTATCATCGTGTAATAAAACTGTGATGATGAAGAAGCTCTGACCATGGACAGAGAGGGAGGGAGATGGAAATGCAATGATTCAGAGAACAGAACACTCTCACAACCTAATCAATACACGCCAGCGTGCCGCATCAACAACCAGAATAGAAAACAATCCTACTCTGTTTGTAGCCCACACATGCATTTATTACTCATGTCAATCTGCACTCTCTTCTCCAATCAGTCAGGATAAAACGCTGCGCTCACTGTATTTGCCCAAAAAAAAAAAAAGAGGCAGGTGTCAAGAGAGGTGAACTGTATCCTCGCTCTGGTTTAAGTAGGAGTTTATAAGGTTTTCAGAGACGGGGAATGAAAGTAATAAAACAAGAAGCCTAATCTCCCAGAGGTTGGCTTAATTAATTTTTACTACAAGTTTACACTTAGTAATTGGTGTTTGGGTTGTCAGGGTTACATAAATATTGCTGAATTTTCTACACACAACAGAACACTCACGGATGAAAGAGTCTGTCCTCGGTTCAAATTTTATATTGATCTTCTTATTAACACCTGCTTTGGGGCAAATACATTTGACCAGGAATGAACGTTACACAACGTTCAAAAGGATGCACCACTGCCACCCTATGGACAAAAACGCCTATTACAACAACGTAGCAAGTTAAATGGGGATAAAAACAAGGGGATAATCAACCAAGGACAGCTAGTTAATTAAACAGTTATATGCAAAAAGAATTAGTTAATTCCATTCATACAATGACTGAAGATAGCTCAGGTAAGGAGGAGGGGAAGTTGTATCAAACATGTTTAGATTGACACAGTTTCATTCACGATATTTTCTGTTGGCTGAAAAACTTGAATTTCGTGTTTTTATATATTTATAGATGTGACGATTTGTCTTTGAGACCCTTTTAAAGCTAAAGTTTAAAAAATACTTGAAATTTGCAACGAGGCTGTGAAGTTTCATAATAATTGTAAAAGTTATTTCTTTTTTACATTTTGTTATTACTCAGTTGACTTATTGATTCGGAAGCTCAGTTACAATAAAGCATAGTGTTCAAACGTTGCATTCATGATTTAATTGTAAAAAAAAAAGGAAAAATACAAGATTTAAAAAAAAAAAAAACTAAACTAAACTAAAGTACTATTTAGCCAAATTCAATCGGTATTTTCTTTCATTTAAATGTGTCACACCTTAAGTCCTGAGGATTTGTAGGAATGATGTTGCATTGTGGGCATAAATTGAAGAAACAAGTGCGCTTAATTATTATTTTTTATTTGTTATATGCTGTTTTCCAAAGCAAGCGATTGATTGTACTGACTGGATC